AGAATTGATACCCATATTTTGCCTAAGAAGATTTTATGATACAGCCTATAATACATTTTTAAGATAGAATTTGACCTGCTTCTCAATATACATTAAGTAAAATAAATAAATTCAGCATACTACCCCATGAAGAAATCTGTTTTTATATATAAATATGTTTGTAGTTAGAATACTGGCCTAAAAAGTAGCCAGAAATAGCCAGTTGTTAACTCGTATTTATATAGAATTACAAAACCTAATGATCTGCTGTAGTGTTTCCTGTGATATCCCAAGTCTAGATGTTGATGATGGCCTGAGTGGAACACTGAGCTTTTATTTTATATTTTCAGCCTTCATTTCATTGTCCTTCCACTCTTTTCTGTGGCATTTTGTAATATGGGACTTATTTCTTCTTGTACTGGCCACCCAGGTTTTCAGAAATTGCAGGGAGAGCATAAGTTGTTTTTCCATTTTTTTGTCACAGTTGTGTAAGGTTTCCTGTGATGATTTCCTTTTTTCTAAAGTTTAGTGATATCATAGGCTCTTTGCTTAAAAAGCCCAATTGAAAAGCATTTGAAAAATAAATTATTTTGTTTGTACAATTTGGATATTCATTTTTAATAGAGTCAGAGGGTAAATTCTTCAATATTTATTTTACTAATATTTTGAGTTCTATAAGTGTCCACTTTGGATATAATGACATATTTATTAGGACTTAATTTTGACATAGAATGATGTTTGATTCTGTATTTTATTTGTTTATTTTTTTAGGACATTACATGTTGGCTGAGAGTGATCTTTAATTCTGAAATTTTCAGTGCTATTTCAGCTATGGATAGCTCCAGAAAAATAGCAGTTCTTTAAAATAAGGGTTTATTTACTGCTCTAGGTTTTGAAGAAAAAGAGCAGATTCTATAGCCCTTCATGGAGGGGTAGTTTCCCCCTCTGGACATTTAACAGATCTCCATGTCAAAGCTTTATTCCGTCTTCATTGTATTCTGTAATCATTTGTGTATAGCTGTGGTTTCAAGGACCCCTTTTTTCCTACTCCTTCCCATTTCCATGATGTAAAACTAGATTTTTTCCCCCTTCTAAAACTAGATTAAGATAAAGCTGATTAAGCTTAGTATAGATTCACAAACATCATCAGCAGTTTGTGAAAATACACATTCATTGATATATGTGATGTTACGAGATGTAGGAGGTTAAGAGTGGTTACTAGAGATTTAGAATGAAGGAATATTTTTCTGTATAGTACAAGCTTCTCTTAAAGCCATTGTAGCCCAGAATCCATAGGCTGCATTACTATGCAAAGATTCCAGGCTTTACTAAGGTAGCCAGAGCTACCTTAATGACTGAGTTAATGACTTTGAGTTAAGCAGCACTTGGGGAATTGGGCTGCTTTCCCATATATAAAAAAGTAATAAGATCAGGGCCAAAGGAAAGCTTACCTGAAATGGTAGACATGATCAGGAATATATCTGGGCTAAAAGAATTTCTGAGTTTTAATAAAACCGGTACTTCATTCCTATATTTCTGAAAATGGTAGTTTCAGTCAAAATCCCAAAACAATGAACATGTGAAAAGGAAGAAAGGATCTAAACTTTTTGTAAGGATAGTGGCTGGACACATTATAAAGTATCTATCATTCCGGCATATGTAGAAATCTGTGTTTACATAAATAACATAGCTTATTCACCTAGTTATTTCAGTTTGGAAATTATTAGCTGAGAAAGCTAATAAGTGGTCTTGTATATGCTGCTTATTTCTTCAAAAGAGAGGATAAAGGATAAGTTCTTTCTGCTGAACTATTTTAGTGACGGATGATGGAATAATGACGACTTTGCCAAGTACATGGTATAAACATAAAACATTTTTTGGTTAAATTTTAAGAACTATCTTTTAATTGGAGGAAAGTGGCCTATTTTTAAAATTTTTTAAATGTTTATTATTTTTGAGATAGATAGCAAGCAGGGAAGGGGCAGAGAGAGTGAGAGAGAGAGAATCCCAAGCAGGCTTCTCGATATCGGCACAGAGACCAACACAGGGCTAGAACCCACAAACTGCGAGATCATGACCAGAGCGGAAATCAAGAGTCAGACGCTCAACCGACTGAGCCACCCATGTGCCCCAGAAAGTGGTCTATTTTTAAATTTTGACATACATATAGAGAGAATAAGCATTACAGTATATATTGTATTTTGGATGATTTTATGTCAGTGGATGTTATGAAAGTTCTGATACTTTGTTTAACACAGAAGATGGGTTTAAGAATTTTTGCTGCAGTTTGCTTAACTTTTTATTGAATAAATAAAAATTTGTAAATACCATCCATTGTTTTGACTTGTTAATTAGGTCATATTTTGCCTGGTAGATTCTTCCATTTCATTGATGATGTTAATGTCTCACTTTAAATTGCTGAAAGTTTTTTTTTTTTTTTTTTTTTTTTTTTTTTTTTTTTTTTTAGTAAATCTTGGTTTACCTCAAAAGAGGTTCACTAGAAAATTGATACGAATTTGTAATTTTTGTAAATGTCGAGAAGAGTAGCAATTTAGGCATCAGATTAAGTAAAATCATTGATTCACTGAAAACAAAGCCAAATGCATTGTTCGCCCCATACCCCCTCCCCCAGGATAGTCAGCACTTTTTGCCATTTGTTATACTTTTTGCTAATCTCTTAAAAAAATGGATCCTCCTACTTAGTCATCTATTAAGTGGTTATATGATTTATTGTAAGAGAGGTACAATACCTTAAATCTGTGTAGAAAATGCCTGGCATTTCCTTAGATGCTTCATTTTTTTTTTTTTTTTTTTTTTAAACAAAGAGTAAAGCTTGAAGAAAAAAGATTAAAAAAACTGCTCTAGGAATTGGAAGATATCAGAGTTCTCATCTCCATTGTGTCACTGAGAAAACTGCTTAAATCTCTTAAGACTTCAGTCTCTATCTGAAATGAAGAGGTCGATTAGACAAAAGCATCAAGAGTTTCAAATTGGCAGCCTGAGGACCAGAGCAGATACGACTTATGTGGACCAGCTCTGTCCCATGTAGCCATTCAAGTTTCAAGTTTCCTGTACATTTCCTAGTGGTTGCAGTCTCCCCAGCTTCCTACCACTTAACATGATGTTCCTCACACATTTACCTAATCTGAGGGCCCTCGGAGACACTCGAGTTGCAACCCTTGGACTAGATGTCACTCCTGACTTTCAAAAATTGATGTTTTCTGTGCTGTGACAGCAATTAACAATACTTGGTCATCATTCAAACATGTTATTAAAGACCTGGACACTATTCTTTAATTTTCAGGGGGAAAATGCTTTATTTTCTTCTTTAACTTGATATAAGTGGCACAGAGAGTTGGCAGATTGTTGCTTAGAATAAGAGAACATCAGAGGAATGTATTCTTAATTCAACTCACTAATTAGAGCAATGGATTTTCCTGTCTTACCCTATAGAACTGTACTGAGCATCTGCTATAAAGCTGTAAGTTTTATGATTTGGGGCACCTTCCTACTACAGAAGCACTGAAACGGCCATGCTGCCCTGTTTGTGACTGCCCTGGGCAGTTTGTGACATTCTTGTGTCTGCTGATTGATACTAATGCCAGCACGGTGCCAGGATCAAAAGATACCAGTGTAATAAATAAGGCTTTTTTGACAGTTTAAATAATCAACCAAATAAATTTGCAAAATGGGTAAGCAGCCGGCATAGGCACAGCCCATTTATTTATCCTTGTAGTTAGACATTTGCCATTCACTTGTTACAGTAGTTACCATGGGAGTATTCAGTCCTTGACTTTATATGCTGGCATGTTTATCTAAAGATACTGATAGGAATGTTCTGCAGAGCTATAGGAAAGGAGGTTTAGGAAGCGGGGGGGTGGCTCATGCTGAAGACATAAGAAGTAAAAAAAAATATTCACATGTAAAATAATGAGTTTAAGGTAAGTCCACGATTTAGATTGCTAATGTTTTTTAGGTTGGTTTTTAATATAGAAACAGTATATGATGTAAGCACACTGGCAGTGTCTCTGGTATGATACTTTGACCTAGTCAAAATTTTTGAGACTCCTTTTCAATAGACAGTACATATTTTAATATTAGCTCCATTAGAAAGATAGTTTTTTACTCAGTGGGCAATTATTAAAAATTACAGTATTTTTAAAATGCAATTTTTATGCAATGCAGAAACCCAACAGTTTTTATAGAACCATTATATTTATGATAAGTTAGTGAGAATAGTAAGATTCAGAAATTCATCATAACAAACTTGGCTAAATATGAATTTTGTATTAAAAACATTGGGAGAAGGCACACCAAAGCATAAGCAAAACTAACAAATTAATAATCACATGATAGGGAATTATAGATATCCCAGAGTTGAATGTTGAATTTGAATATACGTTATTAATAGTCCCAGGTTAAGAAAAAAGTTCAGTCTCTTGACAGAGCTCTGCTTTTGGAGAGATGGAGAATTCGGTTGTTAAAATCTTCCGACTTTTATATATTAAAGCAGCATCTTGGATCATCTCTATTGAAACATCTCTAAAGCATTTGGCATATTCTCCAAGTCGTCCGTGGACTGGAGACTTCAATTGTGTACCTGTCAAATCCCAGACCTGTCCCAGGCTCTGGCACAAGCACTATAGTGTCCCTACTGGGTGGCCAGCTGAACTAGGTGTATGGACCCACTGAAGAATCTAACAGGAGGGTAGACCTAGAACTGGAAATGAGAGGTGCTGCTGGTAGGCACTCAGGTTCAAACCATTGTGGGTTGCACTACATGAAGGACTTTTTATTCACCTTCATTTTGGTAATTGGTATAAATAAAAATTTAGATTTGTATAATTGCTGTGAACAGCGTATTGATTTAGGTTTCTCAGAAAAGAAACTAAAATTAGTGTTCAGTACTACTTCATTGTTCAGTCCTCTGAAGGAAAGATTTTTTTATATTTTCTTTATGTGGAAAACATTTTTAATCATATTTTGTTTTAACATAAATAAGGTGTCTGTTTCTGTTTCAGAACAATACTTAAAACAGTGATGGAGAAGAAAAGTCATCTAGGTAAATTGTTTCAGTAAGAAACAAATACTCACTTGATATTATTTTCCTTTTATCCTTTTTTTTTTTTTTTTTTTTTTTTTTTTTTTTTGTTAGGGGTGAAAGCATGTCTACAAAGAAAAGCATGTGAACAGGAGGAAAAGTATGAGATTCCTGAAGGACCACAGCGAAGCAGGCTCAACAAAGAACAGCTGGTATTTTTCTTTTGTTACTACTTTCATTGTTCTTATTATAACTTTATATCATCACCATCAGGAAAAACTTCTCTTGCTCTTTCAACAAGTACAGGTGACTGATTAAAATTTTAATTGTGCTTATTTCAAGCACTTGATTCTGAGAGATGATCACAATGAGCAGTAAAATCCAGAAGGTGATAATTTCATACTGTTAATGGATTGTTGGCATCTTGAACATTCCCATAAACCTTTCAGAATCTGGGGAGAAGTCTCAGATGCAGAAAGTCACTTGAAAGGAGACTTATGGCTGCTGCTTGGATTGAGTTCCCATATGTCTTTATTGCCACATGCTGCAGGTTTAATGGATGCTATTCCATTATCCTGTGTACATATATATATTAGAAATGACGAAGAAGAATTTTCGCAGAAGGCAACTGTGAAACTTCTTTATTCAATAGAACACAAAGAAATGTGTTTCATAGCTAATTGGATCCCTAGCCATGGCATCATAACATACTCTACCCCAAGGAATATGTATCTGGAACCCTGGAGGCCACCCTCCCACCAGGACTGTCCTGGAGACCTGAGGTTGGTAACATATAGAGACTTGAGTAAGGATGGGCAGAACTGGATAAAGATCCAGAGAAATGATGTTACTCCTATAATTTTATTAAATGTAGCCCAGGATCCCTGAAGCACATTTCAGATACCCTAGGAATTCTTGAGGCTTTAAGTCCCACCAAATATGAATAACATTCTGTTAAAAGAAGTGTGATGAGCAGTGTTTGTTTGCTTTTTAAAATACATACCCGCACACACTCATTCCCACACGCATATGCGAAGCACACCTAAAATCTGAAGGGGGGAAACTACCTGAGATGGTGACTCAAGGAAGAAATCATAAATAGGAAATCTATAAAGTGAAGTCTTTTTCCTGACCCAATAGTGTACTTGAAATGCAGCTTATCCCAGCACTTCTTTGAAGCAGCTTCTTAACTGCTCATGACTATTTATCTTTATTTTCCTCATTCCTATGCAGTGTTTTTAAATGTTTTCATCTGCTTTTAACAAGTTTTTTCTTGTTATTTCAGTTGCCAAAGCTGTTTGATGGCTGCTACTTCTATTTTGGGGGAGCCTTCAAACACCATCCAAAGGACAACCTTGTTAAGCTTGTCACTGCAGCTGGAGGCCATGTTCTCAGTAGAAAGCCCAAGCCGGACAGCGACGTGACTCAGACCATCAATACTGTCGCGTACCATGCGAAAGCTGACTCTGATCAGCGCTTCTGCACGCAGTATATCATCTATGAGGATCTGTCTAACCATCGCCCAGAGAGGGTGCGGCAGGGCAAAGTCTGGATGGCTCCTTCCAGCTGGTTTATAGATTGTGTGATGTCCTTTGAGTTGCTCCCTCTTGACAGCTAAATATCGCACCGGATTAATGTTTCAAATTGAACTTACACAGTGTGAGAACCAGCCATTGCACTGTTTTCATCATATACATGTTTACAAATAGGTAGACTCATTCATGCACATTTTTTCCTTGAATTAAAAAAGAAAAAAAACTTATGCCAGATTAGGAATTCATTCTGTGTTTGCCATTTAGATGCTGAGATTGCTTTGAAGGATGTTTCTTTTTAAAACTGGTGTATGTTTTGATTCATCATGTCTTTTTATTCAGATTATCAGCTATTAAAGATTAAGGAGAGAGTTTCAGAACTATGGGTTAAATATACAAGTAGTATCATTATCATCTCAGCCTTTTAATGTTCTTTGATGAAAAAAAAATCCACACTTGCTGCCACCAGCAAAAATACTTCCCATCCTTTGGTGAACAAGGAATATTGTCAAATAATTGATTCTGGCTTTATTGTAATGAGAGTAGAGTACCTGGTCTGAATGTACCACCACAGGTGTTAAATTCTTCTGTCTACAATTGTCGTCATCTTACGATGTGTTTAGTTTCTTATAATGTACGTGGATGTCAGTTCCTACATTTTTATCCCTTTTTATCTATTCATCAAGAAATCGTGACTTAAACCATAACATTATTCTTTGGTGGTGAAAACATCGGGCTTATGGTACATATTTTTATTGTATATACTTGCTTATTGTTAGCTATCACTTTGTAACTGTGTTTCTCTACAGTATATGTATGTATAGATACACTTAGAGTATATGTATGTATATATACACTTATAAATACATATACACACTTAGAGCATTTTCTTTAACACATTTTAGTATCAATATTGCTTAGAAGGTCTTACTAGACTAGCAAATTGTCAATCAAATATTAACAAATTAGGAACCAGTCTTTCTCTGGTAGACCTTGCTGTATATGCTAAAATAATTGTTTTTGAAGGTCTTAATTTCTTTTTTTGTAAAGTTTTTTTTTTTTTTTCCCCACTTTAGATTGCTGTGGAGGCAGAAGTTGGGGATTACTTGATTTAGAACAGATTTTTGTCCATGTGATACATAAGGCTCTAACAGTAAGTCTAAGGGTAGGAGTGGGAAGGACTTACTTCTAATACCAAGACAGATAAGGTTTGATGAGAAGAGTGGACAGGACACCACCTGAGAACGGGAGGCCTGGGGGAGGTTGCTCTGATTGAAGTGTTCTCATTTGTGAATGAATCGACAAGGTAAATGAGATCATTTAAAAATATTCTTTAAGAAGTAGAATTCTTGAGTAAGTCTCCCTAGAAATTGAATCTAGTGCTAATATTAAAGACATAGGAAGGGAGACACTGTGGGTCCGGCCAGGTTTGGTCCCTGGTGGACTAGAGAACAGTTTAAGTCCTGGATGAGAATACTGAGAGTGTGAAGTTAATAAACCTATTAAAGTTCATTTATTTGTAAGTTTGAGATTCTGTGGATTATTTAAAAATAAGTTTTACTGTAATTCCTCTTTTGACATGTTACTTTTCCATATCAAGAAATACACTATGTAAATGCAGTGATAAACTATGGACCCTGACCTTCAAGGATGAATCGGCTCTGAAAAAGCTCTCCAACCAGTAATGTGTTTGTCCCACATTTCATCCTAATGGAGAATGATGAACACCATAGCACCAAACAAATCTGAGGGGTTAGATAATGTCTGGATTACATAATTTAAGACTCTCTGGGTTGTCATTTTTGACTTATAACTGACTTTTAGTCACTTTCTATTGCCTCATTGGTCACATTTCCCAGACAGGTTTGTGTGTGTTCCTCTGGTTCGAATCCCTGTTTGTGAAACAACTTTGATGGTTGCCGCTCACTCTCCTTCAGTCATTTTCTGGGTTTATCCTCCCTCTCCCTTCGTTCTACTATGTCTACCACTATTAAGCAGTTGTTTTGTAGTTTTTCTTTGGTTTCTTTAAATATATTTTGACAGCAGTTGGTTGATGTTAAGCTGTTAAATCTTGTGATTTCCGTATAGATACTTGTAACTGTTTGCATTTTTTGATCATAGATTCCAGCTTCTTTTTTATTTACTACAAATCATTAAAGTTACTTGTGTTTCTGTGTCTCTGTATCTTCTATAGAAGTAGCTCATTCTGCACCATTGAAGAACAGCACAGGTTAGCAAGACCTGTGCTAACAAAAGCTTATCTTTTGGGACATTAATGCATTGCAATTAATTTTGGATAGAAATATTTCTAAAGTATATTAGGCACTTTATTACCCTACATAAATTTGTCTGAATACAATGTAACCTTGATAGTTGGAATCCTCATTAAGGGCATCAGTTATTACAGGATGATTCCTTCATGGTTCCGTTAAAGCCAGAGGGTAGGTGGCTTGGCCACAGTATTACACATGGCTGCTTTCTAGTTCTGCCTGCGTTTTGTAGTTTTTTTCCCCCTTGGCAGCCGCTACTTTGTCACTACTTATCTGTTCCCGTTAATACTTTACCCTATCTAACTTTTTTTTTCTTTTGACTTGCTAAGGAATGAAAACCAGGTGGGAAGTATATTAGAATTATGAGCAAAATGGGGATAAAGAATGTGTGAGGGTTTTGGTGATTCACCCATGAGTTAGATACTTCAATTTTGTAGATAAGATTTACCATTTATTCTACCTGTCTTGACTTTTTTAGAGACTGCTTTGTGAATTTGGTGATTAGGTGACCTCTGTATGTTTTGGGAGGTTTGATGTTCCTGTGGGACTAAGAAGATTCAGGGAGGGGCAGTCACGTTGCACATTACCTGTAATTATCTCCTTGGGTTGGGGCAAAAACAGTGTCCATTGTGATTTGAAAGTTCGTGGACCTCATCACAGTCACAGATGTATATTCTCTTCTATAACCAGAACACATTAAAATGACAGGAAATAATATTTAAGACTGTAAGCCACTTTTTTGTTTGAAGATGGACTGCCCTACAAATTGTGAACTTGACGTATGATTTTGTCATCAAATCACCCAATAAGTAAAAACTAAGCAATTATAATTTTTTTTCAGTCAGCTAACACATATTATGTTTGGCTACTTAGTTGTATACTGTCTTATGAATTAAGGATTGCTGATTATTTGTGTGCCTTTCTAAGGCACATACTGCACCTTTTGATAACTGGAACTTGTTAATTAGGATGGCATTGTGGGAGAAGTGGGGAAGGCACCAGACTGTTCTGTGACCTGGCTTAGAAGGTTGATGACTAACTCTCCAGACCCAAGGAGGAATCCTTTGGCCCTCAGTGCTCCCATATGCCTGTTCAGGCCACTTCCAGAAGGTCAGTAAGCCTACTGTCAGGCTTGGAGATTGGATTAAAGATACTGGGGGGGGAGGGGGGGGGTGAGAGGGCATGACTCCTGTGCAGGCTTT